CCGCTGATGCTCAACACCATCAACCAAAACTCTATCTTGCGCAGGCTGGAAACCCTTGTGTCTTGCCTATGGAGGTCTGCTATTGGCGCTGGTCGTTGATCTATTGCACGCTAAGCCAGAGCACCGCTTATTGCGCTGTGTTGCGCCCTGCGTTCTGACTATGCTACAGGCAGAAAGAAAATGTCATCCTACACCTACCATTCCAAGTCCACACCATACAAGACTGATAGCTCAGGCTCACAGCTATCTCCCAACTTGTCAGATTTCCCGGCAACACAGCCCTTTCACTTATACTCTGCAAAATCTCTTTTCTTATATTTGACGTTAGCTTGTCTTCTGTTGACTTTTGTATTTAAGTTGTAGGATTAGACTTCCCTGCGACATGTGTTCCAATCTCCGTAATCGTGTCCTCAAATGAGTTGAGGTTATTTGAGTCCCTTCACTTTCAGTGTACATAGGATGCCAGCATTGGCAAGCAGCCCTGAAGGTTGCAAAGGTGATTACCATCCGCAACAGGATTTACCATTTCATCATGTTGGTTATGCCGTCTTCATCTGATGTTGGCAGTTTGCTAGGGATATCTCAACAGGCACACTCAGTAAACAGGCTGGGGGCACCTCTGCATAGGATGACTGCGGACCAACTCTTTTCCCTTCCACATCCAAAAAGTGGATTGATGTGCAATGAGCGCGTCCCCTACCAGGGATGAACTACGGTGAACGTCAAGCAACCCAAAAAAGAAAGTTTGAGGTATCTAACCATTTTATTTCCCCCGCTGGTAAGTATCTTGTCTGATGGCCCATTGTCCCATGTACAGTAATCTGAGTCTCTGAGAACCTTTCCGAAAGCAATAAAGTTTGGACACTCTTATGCATCCGTTGCAGACATCCTGCTACTGGTGAACGGCATGGAATGTTGTTTGTATCCTTGACAACAAGAGGCAAAAAAGAGGCGGTGGTTGCAAACAATATCATGATAACTGTTTGGATGACATGTTGTTGCCAACTAGATTCATCCAACCGTCGGCAAATAAGCCGGTTTGATTGACACACTCGTCAACTCAACGCATTGAGACATGTTCAACGGGTTTAGATTCCAAGCTGGATTTCAGATTCTGATAAACGGGTACCACCGTAGTGGTACCGTTTGGCACAGTCCCTCAGCAGTGCCCATGGGTGCAGAAGGCCTGTTGAGTCAGCACCCATGGGCAAAGGATTTGCTAATTGTATGAGTTTGGTAAATCTCTATACAACTGGCCAGCCTTGCAAATCGCCATGAAATCAGGTTCCTTGATGAAGATGAGATGAGATGAGTCAATTTCCCCCTTGTGGTCAAAGAAGAACAGATCGGGGATGCCCATGACGCGCAAGCCATTTTTCTTTCAATCAAGCATCAGAGTTGGTGTATTCTCTTGTACTCCCTCTCCCTGCCGTTATTCAACCTGTTGCGCAAAAGGCCTCCCTATAGTGCTTGTTCATCGTGATGGCTGCAGGTCTAGCAACGGTTGTGTAAGTCCCACCATGGTATGGCACTTATTCCAATTTATTCATTCAACTCTTTGTCTAGGCATGGCTATATTTTCATTGGTCTGCTAATGAATGTTGCGTTGTTTGGGATCAGCATCACCCAAGCCTACCTATACTACACTCATTATAAGAAGTGCGTATAAAAATGACTTGTTCAAATTGTGTTTGTGGTCTGATGCAAACACGTACAGAGATAGACTATGAATCAAGATATTGGTGAGGCCAGACCATGCTATTCAAAACCTCAGTACTAGCTAACATCCTTGCCAGGTTGCAGCTTTGTTTATAGCCGACTTGGTCAACATGGTGTTCTGTATCCTGTACCTGTACAACACGCTTATTTTAAATTTTGGTAAGTTGGCCTTGATGCAACTGGGCGTTTGCTGATGTTGGCAACACAGAGGATGTCACTGTGCTTAATATGGCAGATTGGAGTATGTAACATTGATTTGCTTCCTGATATTTATGATACTAATTCAACGTGCTGCGTAGTTTTTGCCACAGGTATGAATGACCACACACCCATGTAATCTCCATATTGATCACTCCGCCGTCCTTCAGAGCCTGCAACAATGGTGAGCAAGTCGGGCCTTGAACTCCCTCTACAGTGTTTGACACATTCCTTTCTTTACAGCCTAATTGCCACATCCGTGCAGCTGTTCTTTGCATAGCGTATTTGAATCCTCACAAAGAACTGGTTCTTTGTCACCCCCGTTGTCACTGCAGCAATAGCAGGAGGAGGTATTCACCTCTCATATTGGACCATGAACACAATGTTGATGAAAATTGGAAACAGTTGCTGCAATTTTGACACGGATGCACCCCAAACTTTGCCGATTTCAGAAATTTCAAGGTAGCCCAACGCTCACACTAAAATGCGTACACATTGATACAATGGTTTTTTCAGGCAACTGTGAGCACATGGCTGGCGTCCAACATGGTGGGCAATCTCATGATTAGTGGCATCCTTGTCTGGTTCTTGTGAGTCACTGAAAGCTCTTTCTGAATTGCGGGTATATTGAACTTGACCTCTAGGGTATGTCAACCAATGTTGCTTCACACTCCAATGACCAATTATGTTCTTTCCTTGTAAACAGCGCCAGCACAAGACTGGTTTCAAGAAATCCGACCAGATGGTTGACCGTATAATTAGAGGTCCGTTCCTCTTCCACTTTCACTCCAAGTGCATTTCATAACACTGCTGCTTACTAGTCACCATGCAAACGGGTCTTCTCACAATGATATTTGCCGCTCTGGATCTAATATTCTTTTTGGCTAATGTATGTTCAACTATTACATCTCTCCAATGACTCCGTCATTAACCCATCCCCACAGCCCGGAGGATTGTTCATTCAAATCATCATATCAATTATGTACCGGTCATCTAAAGAACCTATTACCCTTTCATAGGCACCTTCTATTCAACTTCCCTCTCTCCAAACTCTACACCAACTCTCTCTTGAGCAGCTTGAATTCTCGCCAAGGATCAAATTACAACACCCCCAACCGCTCCCACTACGATTCGGAAAGCGGACATGCTAACACTAGCAGTGGAACACAATTGGGAGGAGTAGGGAAAAAGGTGGGGGCACAATCAAAAACACCTGTACGTGGGCCACTATATGATTTCTAACTTGGATATTCTTTCTTGCAGGAATACCATACTGAAATGTCTATTTGATTAGGCAGATATAATTAGTCTAGGTGTACACTCTTTCCCCAAAGTATTTGTCCACATCAAGCAGCACTAACTCTATGACACTTCCGGCATTCATTCACTATTACGGACAACTGATGCAAAGCACAAGACAGACGACTCTAGTAAACGGTTGTCGATGGAGAACAATGATGGGAAGAAATGGGGCCAAGACTCAACCTGGACATCTTAATCATTGTAGACTTTTGTTGGGTCCAAGTTGGATCTCAAGATAGAGAATTACTAGAAAGGACTCGGAGCAGGATCAGCTTGGGATGCAATATCATCTGAAGATATTATCCAGGTTGTAATCAAATTGTACTAGCACCAGTAGTAGCCTATGTATCAAACTGTTTTCATTGATCCAGCAGTCTGCACGCGGTGTATTGCTGATGCTCCACAATTGACACTGCATGAGAGAGGAATCAAAATGAGAAACTCCAGTTCGAGTTGCACGCATGTGAACGTGCCAGCTACCTTGTAAGAGAACCCAAGGTCATTGCCCTGCACACACATCGCTCGTTCATCGAATGAGTGTCCCCAAACTGACGGTGAAGCGACGGACAACATCGCTGGATTCTGTTCAAAGACAGTTGGGTAGCATGCGATAAACAAAAAAGAGACCCATTTATCCTAGTTTGAGTTGCATCAAGTATGTGAAGCTGTCAGCTACCTTGTCGTAAGAGAACGCGGGCCATACCGTCCACCAATGTGGCTTGTACATCAAATGAGTGTCCTTGCACTTGGAGGTCAAACTTGGATAGTCAAGCGAGTAAGGCACATACACCCTGGATGCTGTTCAGGGGTAGGTGGGAAGAGGCAAGACATTGGACTCTAGGCGGGAATGTGTGTTTGATATAAGAATGGGTTGGAGCATGCAATAACACAAATAAGAGACCCAGAGTCGCATCAGCACGCGTGCGTGCCAGCTACCTCGTAAGAGAACCCAGAATCACTTTCAATATATCCGCGTCAACAAGTATCCTCAAACTAACGGCCAAGCAACGGGGGCATGCAGCATTCCTAAATTTTGTTCAAAAAAAAGCCGGGCAAGAGGCATGACTTTGAGCTTTGGGCAGGGAGTGTGGGTGTGTTTGATGAGAATATGCAATAGAACAAACAAGAGCCCGATTCAAAAATCAAGCATACAAACGTGCCAGCTACCTTGTACGGGAACCCAGGCGTTGTATCACTCAAAAACATCGCTTGTCATCGAGTGAGTGTCCTCAGACTTGGATGATGAAGCGATGAAGAAGTATGCAACATTGCTTGGATTCTGTTCAAGGGCAGCTAGGCAGAGGCAAGACGTTGGGGAATGGGGGTGGGTTTGATATCAAAGGATTTGTACATGGAGCAAATTGACTGATAACGCCATCAACACGAGTTGAACCCAATCTGTTCAGGATTTAATATTATGGCAGAAGGGTTTTCAACATCGATCTGCAGTACGACGGCAATGCATTATGACTATGAAGCTCCTTGTGAGCAATCGATGATGCCCGCAATCCTCGCTGATCAGCATCATGAGCATCAAACACAGAACATGCATGGCGAGCGACGCCTACAGCATCTGGCAAGCCATGCAACGAAGAAGAGAGGCAGGTGAGAAGAGATCCTACGAAAACATACCACCGTGCACTTTGTACGAGGAGTGGTGCATGGAAAGGCCTTTGCTGGAGGGAGAGAGATGGGACAAGGTCGGTGTAAGAGCGAACATCAATGATGTGATGTCACACCGTCCCCTCGTCTCTAGTGTGATACTTATACTTAGTATAAGATCTTTGTTAGTATATCGGTTAGTACACGCGCCTGTCATTGAGATTCGCGCGTAAGCTGGGTTCGACTCCCAGACAGAGAGTGTCGTGATAGTTTGTCGATTTTTGAATCTTCTTTTATGCAAGATCTGTCTGCACTCGAGGGCAACTTCTTCGGTTGACATTGGGTGGCTTCGGTGTGTAGAATTATTTGGGCGGTTTCGAATGAGTACGCGCTGGAGAGATGGTTAAGTTGGCTTGAATCGATGGGGATCATGCTTGGAAACCACTTACCGAACGAATGGTGGGATGGATGGAGTGTGCTTATTTATCCGTGACACTCAGTAAAAAGCGAAGTCATGTATGGTACACAAATAGTCGTACAAAGTCAACGGGTAGTCAATGGTCCGTTTAAAATCCGACTGGCCCTGTATTCATAGTGTAAATAGTCGCGCATTCGCTGTACAGGCGTATGAAGAACAAATTGAAATTATTCTAAGTCCATTACCGATAGAATCAATGATCGTCGTCCATGTCACTGTCCTCCTCTGAGTCCCCAGAGTCTTGTTCCGCATTTCCTAACTCTTCGGCACTCAGCATTGCTAAAGCTGGGTGTTTCCGAAGAATATAGACATAGTCTTTTGCTTCCCAGATGCCGACAATGTCAACAATCAAAGATATGTCGACGATGCGAAGGAGACTGCGGTCCCATTTCCCCCTCGTTTGACCGAGAGGTTGGGTCACCTCCGTCAAGGGATTATAGACGGCCAGACTACGTTTAGTGGGACCCTCTAGAGTGTAGAATGCGATCACTTCACCGAAGACGGTGGTTTTCATCGTACCTTGACTGCTTTCAAGACGAGCCTACAAATAAGTTGGATCTTAGTCTGATTCGGAGCATAAGTGATATGTGCAATTTAAGCATACCTCAAACCAACGGTACGAACGTGCATTGGGAGAACGACTATCACTCAATTCGCTCCGAAGGAGACGCCCATTTGTGAGGCGGGCCTTTCCCCATCTATCTGACATTTCCCGCAGCTCCGCTACATAGATATTTGTAGCTTTTGAAATCGCTTCAAATTCGTCCTGCGTCGACTCCACATCACAGCGCCGTATAGCAAGGTGTTGTACAACCTGAGACTTGCGGACGCTTGGATAGCCAGCTGCAGTATCCAACCTGGAGCCAGAGTTGTCGTTGTCACGAAGATCCAGTGATAAGACCGGGTAAATGATAGTAAGGATGCGTAGAAGCTCCTTCTCTGTTATGATATTGGCTAGGTGCGCAAATGGTGCTTTTTTAGATCGGATTTTGTGGCCAACCTCGCCGATGGTGCGTTCCACGGTTGCTTGAGAGCCGATTCGGATTGACCCATTCCATTTCATGTGGATTGGGACGTGGATGAGTTGAAAGATGCACAGACGAACCCTGGAGATGTACTCTGGATTACTTCCAACATAGAGGGCTTCAAATCCGACAAGAAACCTTCGGATTTTGGCGTGCAAGTCTCCGATTTCAAGGTCTGATCGGCTCGCCACAGTCATTGAAAACTCGATGGCGGAGGCAAAGTGCGAGAAGTTCTCCAAGACAGCTGGATCAAAGCCAAGCTCCATTCCGATTGGTAAAACATACCAGTGCAGAAGTGCCATCCATTCGTACACCTTGTACTGGCTCTGTCGCTTGAGAAATGGATCCCGCACGGGGCCGCAAAATGCAGGTGGGAGGGTCTTCATCGCAGCTGATACTGCTTCTCCAAACTGACGGGCTTTGTCAATTGGAAGGTGTAAAGCGGTCTCCGCAGGATTAGTGATGGTAGTCCATAGGTCCCATATGTAAGCCATGCAATTTTCGTAGAAAAGATGGAACGGATCGAGGGGAAAGAAAGTAGGATGGACGAAAGCCTTACTGGCAGCGCAGAGTGGTAGGCGAGAGATACCAGTGTCCTTTGTTATTTTGGCTCTCTGTGCTTTTGAGTGTGATGCTCCCAGTGCTTTGATTATCTTCCAGTAATCTTCCTCATTGCGCATGGGTAGCTGCAGAAGGTTGTAGCTTGGGGGACGTTGAGGGTTGTATTCGTCATTCTCGGGCGGGTTCATTGGATAGTATAGAGCCTTGGCACCTCTTTTCTTGCTTGCTTTAGCGCCTTGGACAGTGGAAAATCTATCACCATGTATTGCGGCGTGCCCAGCCATGCCATTAATTTTTGCAGATCCAAGCATATCCCCCGCTCCTAACACAATCCAAGCACGGTGGACAAAATAGGATGAGTCGAAGGCATCCCAGATCCACAAACCCTCACTTGCTTGCGCCATTTCCTCAAACAATGGCCGGAGAAATGTCTCAATAAGTCCAGGAGAGTTTGGTCCAGGCGTGGCAAGGTTAATGATTACACCAGTTTTGTAGCGAATGTCGGGAGGAAGGTTAAGAATGGTCAAGATCAGGAGCCAGGTATTTGAGTGCTTCTTCATTGTCAGCTGAGCACCATCTGTGGACAGAACAAATGCTATGTCGCGACTGTCTTGGAACAATCCCAACTGTGTGTGTTGGTATGCATGCATGGCAGAGTCGCCAAAGTCAGAGTAGGTTCTTGTTACAGCATTATTCCCTGCGCCTTGTCCCATGGCTGCATGACCAACAACATCAATAGCGCTTTTCAAGCATCTATCACGATGTCGGATACTATGCGATATTTCAGCATTTGAGAACAATGCCTTTATCGTGTCCATGACCGGAAGTATGGTAACTTGCGCATGGCTACGCTTTTTCGAGGAATCTTTGAAGCGAGGGGCGCCACATAGATCACCAGAACTAGAGACATGGGGGCAGCGCTCGAGGTTTTGGAATTCTCCTGTGTATGCCAGACAGCTGTTTGGACACATATCAATTTTTGTCGGTCGGAATCTGGTTAGGCTGGCAGCAAGCTTTCGAACGCGGTATAAGGAAAGGATCTCGGTGTGAGTGGCAGCTTGAAGGACCTTTTTATGTTCTTCATATGCACGCACGGTCCCATTTGATTTTCGCCATGCAATGTAGTGCTGTAAGGACAGTGTCTCCGATCCATCTAGGTTTCGTGGTTTTGGATGATTAGAAGGAGGATTCTCCGGGAGTTTGTAGTCTCCAAGGAGCTCTTGACGAAGGTTGAGCAATTCTTGTGGAAGGCCTTCATTGGTGGTGTGAGGAATGTTAAGAGAACCGTTGAATTCTGTATCGTCATCTTCATATGGTGTGGTGTCTGGAGTTTCTCCCTCGATGTATTGCACAATTTGAATAGTAGTCTCCTCAGAGTCCTCGTCCTCAGAGTCTGCAGAGTTGTTGTTTGCATTGATAAGATCAAATAGATCAATCATTTGATTGTTATCCATGTCCGAAACATGCGACTGGGATCTAAAGCCAGATACTGAAGAGAGTTAGAAGATATTTGGTATATAATACTGCTGGCTAACAAACCACTAGTGCCTTCATCAACTTGGACTATATTGTTGAAGATATTGCCTAAGCTTCCTTCTGCCTTGGTTGCAAGAGATGCTATAAATGTCTTTGTGTTAGTTGATGTAGCTTAAATGCCCGGAAAATTGACAACTATTTGCTCTAGATAGTTCCTCCTGCGTCCGTTTGATGCAAGTTTCCAGCCTTTCCTTCAGTTCTCTGATTGTAGAAGGGCGGGCTAGCTGAGTTTGATCCCGTTGGAGGTGTTTGCGAATGGTTTTGGCCACCCATTCCTTCCCTCTATCTGCGCACAGAGAGCAATGGCAGACTAGTTTCATCTTTAGAGTTGTTGTAAATGTGGTGATGCAGAAGTCGGATATGTATACGGTATCTGTATATGGTTATCAGTTTGAGATTGTCGGTGAATGGTGTGTCCAAGCCTGTGGCTGTGCTGCACAGCCACATATGGTCAATCTCTAATTCATGTCATGGCACTGTCCACAGCAACCAACTTTCTTAGAAAACACCCCAGGTTAGCTCTAAATAGTGTATACTAGCTCTGTGCAAAAATTTAGTTCTTCCTGATGTGTGTGGGTTAGCTGGTTGTCTGTCCAGCATATCCAGTGCGAAGGTTTGGGTCATGTGACCATTCTTTGGAAAGTGGGCATTCTAATTCATGTCATGGCACTTTCCACAGCAACCAACTTTCTTAGAAAATACCCCAGGTTAGCTCTAAATAGTGTATACTAGCTCTATGCAAAAATTCAGTTCTTCCTGATGTGTGTGGGTTAGCTGGTTGTCTGTCCAGCATATCCAGTGCGAAGGTTTGGGTCATGTGACCATTCTTTGGAAAGTGGGCATTCTAATTCATGTCATGGCACTTTCCACAGCAACCAACTTTCTTAGAAAATACCCCAGGTTAGCTCTAAATAGTGTATACTAGCTCTATGCAAAAATTCAGTTCTTCCTGATGTGTGTGGGTTAGCTGGTTGTCTGTCCAGCATATCCAGTGCGAAGGTTTGGGTCATGTGACCATTCCCTCATTGTCGGTGTGCCGATGTTGTCTACAAATGAAACTCTTGCATTCCAGTTACTATGTTCCCAGAGGAGGGCAATTGGCCTCGTTACAATGTGTCCTTCAGCGATCAGTTGGGGCACCAGTCTACCCCATCATTTGGGTCTTCAAACACATTACACTCTGGACCAACTGTGGACACGGCAATAACGCAGCTGGAACCAGCTGATCTCATGAAGAATCAGCACTACCGGGAGCTGCACAAACGGATTTCGGATGCGGCAAAGGCTCTTGCCGATGCTACCCAAATGAATAGTACCTTACACCAGGAAAACTCGCATCTCAAGCTAGAGATCCAGTCATTGAAACTGAATGGAATAGAGCCACAGTAAGTGCAATTTCCAAAGTGTTTGCGTAGCAAGATACTGACTGCTCTATCAAGTTTTCGCAGGCCATCCTACGGACCATTTTTTTCTCGAGAGCAATCAGTGTCTCCTAGTGAGTCTCTCTCGCAAATGGCAAGTCGCAGTAGCGCTCCTCAAAATCTTCGTGAACAGAACGACCAACCTATCAATCGACCGTCTCAGTATCCCCCATCAATTCTATGGCACTTCTCGGACTGTGATAGCGACCCCGACGTCAACATGACTGTCAGTAACAAG